GGAGCGGGTGGGCCGCGCGTGACCGCGGGGCGGGGGCTCCGGTCCCCTCCTCTGCGCAGTCCGCTCTCTGCTCCGGTGACGTGAGTGCTCCTCCCCCGAGCCCTTCCCTCGCTCCTGCCCTGACAGAGGCCGGAGAGCGGGGCGCCGAGGCCCTTCTTCCCTACACGGACTCCCTCGGGTACAAACTCGGTGACCGTGATGAAAATCTGACACAAGGTGTGAATCCGTACCGTCCCCGGCAGCAACCGGGATGTGGTGTCAGAGCTGGCCCGGGCTTCGCAAGGCCTGGCAAGGCGAGGGAGGCTGAGCTAGTCTGGGGTCGGGTTTCCAGCTTCCTCACGGGGCCCGAGGGCCACAGGGACCGATGCGCACAGCCACAGTCTTCTGAAACGCTGCGCGAGATTCCGAGTCAACGTTCAAGATGATCTCAAGAATTTATGGAAGCATAAACTGCTACTGTCATTCTGCTCTCAAAGTTTGGAAGTACTTGCTACCACCTTGAGAGGAGGTAACGCGTTGTCTGTTTCTTCCTGCCAGGGTTTCTCAGATTTGATCCTGCTCTAGGACGCCCTCAGGGTTTATTAAGCATGTTGCCTGCCCGACTTGGGAGTACCTGCGTGTCTAAAGGCTTCTTAGGTAGTCTTGGTCCTGGAGACCACCCTTTGAGAACTATTCTTTATACAAAGTAAAGAACATTTACTGAACGTTTAGTGTGTGCTAAACCTGCTTTTTTTCTTTTATTTTCAGAAATATAATTCACCTTTCATAAAATTCACTCCTTTAAAGTGCACGGTTTGGTGAGTTTTAATGACAGGGTTGTGAAGTTTGTTTTTGTCTCTCCGGTCGTGCCCCCTCTGGACGTGTCATATAAATGGAAAGGTAAAACGCGTGGCCATTTCTGTTAGGCTGCTCTCGCTTAGCGTGATGTGCTTGAGATTCATCCACGTTGTGGAATGCATCAGTGCGCCTGTGGTGGATTAACTCACGGTCACCTTGGGACGCCCGTCTGAGCTGTCAGCGTGGTTGGGCGTGGAAGACCAGCTTGAGGATCGCTGCCAAACGCTAAGAAGACAATTGGAGAGCCAGGGATTTAGCTCAGGGGCACTGTGCCTGCCTTGCAAGCACAAGGTCCAGAGTTCACCCCGGTACAAAGAGGAAACAAGAGAATCGGAGGGAAAGATGGGCTGTTGATTTTCTTGGAGAAGCTTGCTACCGGTTGGTTTTCCCGATGCAAACTTGGCTGTTCTCTAGTCGGAGGATCTCAGGGCCTCGATATCCTGGCAATGGTTGCTGTTCTGTCAGGGGAGCTCTGATCTTCACTGTGAGCATCGCTTCCTGGTTGCAGTGTGGATCCCACAGCCTGGTAGTACAGATCCTTTACGCCACTGGTACAGGTTTTTCGGGTTCTACCCCTGGCCTTGGGGCCTTCCAGGTGCAGGTCCTCAATACGGACAAGCATGGGACATTGCCGTGGGCTCCAGGCCTCTGGCTGGACTCGAGGAGGACATCGCCTGGACTTGAGGCCTTCACCTGGGCTGTGCGGGACACTACTGTGGGGTCCAGGCTCTCGGCTGGATTCTTTGGGCCTCTAGTTCATGGCTAATCTCTTGCACTCCTCTGCATTTGACTTTTTGAGTGACTATTATAAAATAGTCCTGTAAATTATATGTCCTGAATTAAATCTATTTCCCTTATAAAACCTTGACTGCAATAGCGGCATTCTTTTTTAATGGCTGGATATTTCATGGTATAGATATGCTGTATTTTTTAGAGTCATAAGTTGAGGGACATTTGAGTTGTTTCTGTCTTTTTTGGCTATTGTGAATAGTGCTGCCATGAATATGCAGTTTTTGTGTGAACACATTTTTTAATTCTCTTGGCTATACTATATACCAGAGTGGTATTGTTGAAATACATGGTAAAGCGATGTCTGAGTTTTTGAACAACTACCCAGCTGTTTTCCAAATCAGCAGTATCATTTCACATTCCTACCGGTGATGTAAGAGTTTGTTTTCCTATGTCTCATCCACACTTGTCTTTTTATTGTAGTTATAGCATCTCTAGAGGGCTGCATTGGCATCTCACTGTGGTGTGGACTTGCATTTCCCTAATGAATAATGACGCCGAACATCTTTTCATGTGCTTCTTAGTCATATTTTTTTGGAGATGCCTATTCATATATTTTGCCCAATTTTTTCTTTCTTTTTTTTTTTTTTTTT